ATGCCTTTTGTGATTTCCCTGCAAGCTAATTCTGGAAACTGGGACAACAGTACGACGTTTCGATCTCTTTTCAGGTTGCTGTAGGTTGGTCGTTGCGACAATAAATCAGCTCTGACTATATATTATCCGTGGTACTTATTATCCGATAAAGCACACATACTTTCCCAAGGTGCTTATCACAATGACGCGGATCTACCATTGCGGACTATTGCTGCAGCGTCCAGTGTGGCGATTCCGTCCAAGCTGCTCATTTGATAAGTAGTAAACGTCATAGGGACTCTCTGACTTTCCCCTCAAGCCCTCGTGATATAAGTGAAATATTGGTTAGTGTTCAATTCCAGTACAAACTCGTGGTAACCCAAATCATCCAAAATTAATAAAGAACAATTCGACTGCTACTACTACCACCTTTCTGGTAATATAGATTCACGCGTGTAATTAATTAACTTATCGTAATTGCTTCGCTATCAGCATTGAAATTACTACCGTTTTTTAATCTAACAAAACCCTTTTCAAATTCCTAAGAAATATTTACCAAAAACAGAGTCGACTGTACGGAGTCGTAAATCGCTGTATCAGAATCCAATGATTATTGGTTCGAATCCTGGATTCGCCCTAATTATGATTCCTTAATTCTCAGCACCATACCCGGGTTTCACAAATTGGTAAACGTCTAAGAATCCTTTCGAATTTTTCCCAACATTAAATGAAACTGACGACCTATGGTAAAATCAAATATTGTTCAAAACGGTGTTAAATTAATCACTCACCCATATTCACTATTTGGACCACACTCTGGGTATCATGCGAGAAACGACATAAGACTTATCATGCATCTCGTGAATATATATGTTCCTACTTTTCATAAACTGTTTAATAAGTAAAAAACATATAGTTTATTATGCATTAATTATGTGCACCTATCTCCGCTTAACAACATAACTGGAACTGATAAATCCCCCAGCAGACTGGTCACGCCTCATTTGAACACAATATAGTGTTCAGGTGTCCCTGGCAATGCTTGGTTGGCAATGTATGAATAAATTATAGCACCAGGATAAAACCTCTACCAGCTATCTGTTCATGTTCAGTATAGTCATCTTGCACCAAACATGGACTTATTGACATTAACGATGCTAATAGACGTCCACAGTTCTCGAAGGCCTTGTGTTGTGGTTTATGTATGCTATGGAACTGTACCCACGCGTGACCTCACAGTCGTAATTGGGTCTGACGCGTACGGACGTTTCACGATAAGTGTTCCATCAGTCAAGGAAATTAAGTTCATTCAAATTTTTACTGGAGTTACGAACATCGACTGCGTGGTGTACCTGGACATGAGCTCCGATGAAAGGAGACATACAAATTATACCTTGGCATTTCAGAATCCTGCATTCGGATTGGTCCGGTATCGAAGCTACGTATGAATGACATTAGACCTCGTGACCTTTTATTTGTAAACAAATCCTCGACCATGCTTCTACCTCCAGCAATGTTACACATTACGATCCGGGTTCGAATATGCCGTAAAAGGCGATTATATTTGTTGTAAGAGGCGACTAACGGGATCGCTCGCTCAGATGGTTGGTGCATGTCATCGTATCCCAATTGCGTGGATCGATGCTCATGATACCAATCACTGCATTGTCTGGTACAGACTCGATTATTTACAGTCCGCCGTTATACAACTGGAATATAGCTGAGTGCGGCGGAGAACAACAAACAAACAATCTGGAGATGTCTCCAACAAAGATATTACTTCAAGCTCTCCTCCCACATGAAGTTGAAACACCGTGACATCAGTGACATGATGTTGAAAGTGGCGTTAGACCCAACTCTCTCACTCTCAGGTGAGCATGTCCTGTCCCTTCGGTAACACCTGTGATCCATTGAAGGAGGAAGTCATATACACTTACACAAGAATTGAATTCGACAGCTGTCAATGGCAAGGATACTTATATTACCCTTCGGGGGAATTTGGGAATGAGGTCATACTGAAACTGTGACAGGTCTCTTGGCTAAATTGGCCAAATTGGCACTTGTGTGAAGTGTACTCTGTGAGGACAAGTGCTTGGGGATTTTTGCTTGATAGAAGGAAACAGATGGTATTGGAAACATAAACGCAATCTTCCTGCATTGTATTTTCTCTGTGCAAAGTTTTTATGCGAAACTGAAGCCCTAGATTATTTGATTTCTGTCTAATGGATAAGCTATCGATACGTACTCTGTTAGTTTGATGTTATTGATAGAGATCTAGATTAGGGCAAATTTAACTTTACATACAGGTTAACAAGGAAGAAATGTTAATGCACATACATAGAGAACGTCGCCCGAGTGTCTCTTGGTGTCATATATATACACATAGTGTATATAACACAAGTCTCTGATGTTTGTATCTGTGTGTTAAACCTTTTTTGACGAGTACGGACGTATCAAGAGCCACAAGGATTAGATTCTGTTGATCATCCCAAATGATCCTTCCAACAGTTGTACACAGTAGTTATCAGTGTGACAAGTACAGCTAATTTGAAGGATAAGTGTTGCCATTTGATTGTAATGTCATGATAACAATGGTTGCAAAGAATTATGACGCAACTTCAACAAATCTGTATCTCCTAGGAGGCATCGTTTGATCTCCTGTACCTGGTTATTCCTATTTTGTGTTTTAATCTACCGTGGACACCGTTAACTTCAACATCTGTTTCTAAATCAACATGCCAGGGGTATTTGGGTTTGAATTTGTGATGACAATATTTTATTTTCCATCTTCTTGAGTCAGTCAGGCGAAGAGAGACACAAATACGAAACATAAACATAAAACACACACCTACATACATGTTGCTACACTTGAATGCCGACATGTAAACACACCGAACAAGTCCACTGCTGATTTGGCACATAACATCATCACAACAAACCAATACAACTATGTGTCTAGTAGCAGAATCTCGCTTACTTTAGATGATTTAGTTCGATTAATTCGCCCGGACTTACAGCTTGCATTTAGCGAAGCATGGATACAGATACACCAAATTGTATCCCAATCTAATTTTCTCTTTGTTGCTTTCAGAAACAAGATTTAATGGTGCATATATTTGCATATAAGTTTAATTTCCCATTCAACATCAATACGTGAAAGGGTTTGGACACGGACAGATTCCGTTACAAGTTTATGTCATCTAATTTTATTGTTCACCTAATACAGAACAATCATCCAAGAGCACTGGGTGCAATTATCGTCATTGTAGCGTCTTAACTAACATATCACGAAATATGTTTTCTTTAAAGAGCATTTCTGTGTAAAGGAAGTGGGATGAGAGCACGACAAGAAGGACATATTTCCTAATGGGTTGTAGGGGACAATGTGAGTGGTATTGATCAGTATTTACATCACCATTTGCCGTTACAGAATGATGGAAATCATAGTGTAAGCCTGGACATAGGCTATTGCTGACGCCAGTCCAGGTAATGACATCGACATTCATGCTCCTTGTGCCATGATACCGCTTGTTTATCACACGTCAAGTGATCTCTAAGTAATTATGTCTGTTGCATGCGATGCTTCAATGAGCTTGGCTGTCGTTTCGTACCCTTCATAGTAGCGGTGCGCGTTTCAGGCTGAGATTTGAGTGACGAAAAACCGAACCACTTTCTCTCAGGGTTGCTGAATGCTGCCTAACGAATAGTTAGTCCCGAGACATCGAGTCCCGTGACACCAAGGCTTCACAGTTTCAAAGGTTGGTTTTCTGCTATGTTGCTTTGATTGTTGTTTAACGCTGCCCGCAGCATTATTCCAACTTTGTGTCTTCAATATTCGAGTCATAGGACAGGTCATTTTCAGTTTTCGGGTTCAGATAGTATTTTGACCAGTTCTAAGATATTTCTGGGCGGTGGGTAGCCCACTATTTATTGCATAAGTTCGTGACGCATATGGTCCGGTTTGACTCCCACGTACAATGTATGCATGTGGAATATTGCTAAAAGCAGCGAAAAGCCAGACTCATGTTCATAGGTTTCATCAAAATGAAATAGGATAGTGGTGGGCGGGGATGGGCGGGTTTTTGTTGGGGTGGTTGGGGAGGCAAAAGAATGAATGACAGGGATGAGGAATAATATTTTATCCCTGGGCTTACCTGCGACGACGAAGGCGATTTGATGCAGTTTTGTGTTGTTGCAAGTTTGAAATATCGATGGTAGGCATCACATATTGTGCCATTGTTTTAGTAGCATGAATACAATTTGTTGAATCTCAAATTTTATTTTGCCTAACCACATATTTCCAATTCCAAAAAGCCATTTACGTGGCATCAGTATGGTTGATAGAACAACTAGTATTGCTCCATCAGTGGTAGGTTGAAACCATATTCTACATGTATGCAGCCCATGGTCTCAGTGGATGTTTAAACGATCTCAGTCCACTCATTCTTAAGTATAACCTCGACAGAAGGCGTATATTGCACCCAAGGGAAATTACTCGGTAAGTCTACCAGAGGGCTGCTGTAGTTCAGAACTACACGTGGGCATTCAAATTGAAGATACCTTAACGGCGTAAAAAGAAAAACGTATTGTGGTAAAGACACAGTTATAATAAAATCACGTCGAACCTTTTGAATCTTATGACGGTTCCGATGTCATTGAATTGCCAAGAAATGGAATCCGGATTCAGTTAACATGGATTAGAGGATGTTATCGCCAAATGTAATCACTCGCCCGGATGGTAAAATCCTGTTGAACCAGAATCCAATAAGGCATCCTTCTCACATCTGACAATTCGACAAAGTTTCCTTCTTATGACTGAAGCCGGGGAATGGTCAGTGGACCGTTTATGCCATCAGGCGTTATTTGCGCAAAAAAACGGAGATGGAGATGCTAAGCTCATTGGCTGTTGTACAGTTTACATGCATTTGATTGGCTACGGTTTCTGATTGGTTCAAAAAGCCAAACCGGAAGTATTTCTCAGCTAACATAATAACACAGAATCTAACGCGAGTTGGCGACGTCACAACCTCGGTGTCATAGTGCGGGATGTCAGTGATAGTACGACGGAAAATCAGTTGTCAGTCAATTCAGTTCTTAAGACAATTTTCTGAAAACTGGAATCATAAACGAATTATATTGACGGCGCTTGTAACACCAGATGTTCACGAAAAGGGTAAGCATTTATTCCGCACCTCCTCCTCTTGTCCTCTTTCTTCTCGTCAGTTTTAAGGGGGCAAAGCTGAGGTGTATTGGCACTCCTTGTAAATTTTATTGGAAGATGCCCCATCCTTTGTTCCATACATAATTATGTATCAGTAGGAAAGTAGCAATTAACTGTTTCCATAAGACAATGTTTGATATTGTAACTAATTAATAACAACGTTTAGAGCCAGACGGACGATACACGCGGAACATGGAAACTATACTGCCACCATCTGGACCTGCATCGTAAATGTATATGAAGCCTCTTGGTGACAGATGTTATTTATCTGTATGAAGTTCATAAAAATGATCTTGAATTACATGTAATACTGTTGTAATTAATTGCTGTATTGACGAATGCACTTATTAAAAAACCCAGGACAGTTGACAAGTATAATTAGTAACGTCAGTGGCAGCCTATGGTGGGTCGCCCTTGTGTACATAGATTCCTGGATGTGACATGAATGGCAATCAATATTCGTGAGATGAAATGTTTCGAAAAATGTACAATTATCCAAAGAGCTGTACCTTTTTGTGTCAATTATCTCTTCACAAAGAACATAGCAAAGAAAAACAAAATGTACTTTTGATACGCGATTGTTTCCATAAACAACACTGGCGTACATACATATAATCTTCATACATGACCAGACCGCCTCCGTGGTCTCGTGGTAGAGCGTCCGCCCGGAGAGCGGAAGGTCCGGGGTTCGATCCCAAGCCGCGTCATACCAAAAGACGTTAAAAGATGGTACTTGTTGTTACCCTGTCTGGCGCTCGGCATTAAGGGGCTAAAACAAGGACTGGTTGGCTCGGAGTCAGTATACTGTGTCTGAGTGGGATATTCATGTTAAACTGCGGCATGGTATCTCAGTGAGCTAGCACTATAAATCGGCATCAGTCAGGGCTAGTACAAGCAGCCACACACACACACACACACGTACATGCACGTCGCTATAATCTTGTGCAATAATCTTTAGCGCGACGTTAAAGCCAATTTCACCTCACCTCACCGTGAAACAAGAGTGTCAGCCTTGCAAAATGCTGTACATGGATAAGGTAACTGATAAATTACGAAAATAGCAACAGGATTTAAGTTAGAACACGAGGACCTGGAGTCTAATCGTTGAAATGGTTAGTTTGAGTCAGCGCGGACCAGGGTCAAACCTATTTAAATCATGACCAACATTCAAAGAGCCTCAGCATCTAATGTTTGAACAGCAATTGTGTTGAAAACCGTAACTAAAGGACTTTCAAAAACTCTTTGCTTAGCTATAAGAACACTCGGGTTATGAAATACAATCCCGGGGCAAGTATACACTTCATATTGCACCAACGTGTGCAAATTTATCAATCACATAAATATCGGCAATGTTGATGAGCCAATTATGAACTAGCATAGACCTGATCAGGAAAGGAGCAACGAAATAAAGAAATCACAAATGTCCGTGTTCAGAAACGATTAACTATTAGCCTTGATGTCAGTAAATATACTATAAACAATGTTGATTCCATATGTTTTCTTCCATTTCGCTCCGTCAAGATCCGGGTTACAATTGGTCGACAGCAAACCGTATTTGTTGTAAGAGGCGACTAACGGGATCGAGTGGTCAGGATCGCTGATTTGGTTGACGCATGTCATTGTATCCCAATTGCGTAGATCGATGCCCATGATATCAATAGCTGGATTGTCTTTATTATTATTATTTACAGACCGCCGTCATTCAGCAAACAAGCAAACAAACAAAACATGCCGCCATGGCAGTAGATTACATTTGTTAGCCTTCCGTACGCCCTCCTGTTGGCGTCACACGTTTTGAGGGAAATTATTCTCTCACGAAGGTGAATAAAAGGAAATAAAGAATATTGCGAAGTGGTGTTCAACTAATAATTCAGTTAGTTTATGCACAGTCAATGATAAAAGAGCCATGGTTTCAGAAACTAGAGTTCCATTGATCTATATGCAAATGTGTTGAAGAACTCGTACCAGAAATACATTACCATTGAATCCTGCCAATGCCTTTCGTGCCAGCGTGGATGTCCTTGTTATAATTTCATTGTTGTTTTGAATTACGTGAGCAATTACTTCGAAATCAAACATGCTCAAAGGTAGAGAAAGTAAGTTTTCTCTGGATCTTCCACTGACACTAACTCGTAGAAGGAATTGGTCCTTATAACCGTTGTATTTATTGTTACTGCGCTTGGTATCAATGAAACGTTGTCGAGAAACGTTCAATCGACCCTTACAAGTAAAGTACTGTTTGATGTTAACTCCCAGGTAAGGTGCCAATTTTCGCTGAAAGATTGTTTCAGCAATGTTCGTGCCCAATAAAAGTCCTCTACACAAATCCTGTTACTGAAACCTTCGATTAACGGCTTTTCATAGTTTTTATTCCCGATTTATTTGTATGCTAAGGCTTACGTTGAATACCTCGGAGTTTGACGGAGAACCCCGGCATTGACGGCATTGATAAGATTACTCTCCTTCTGTGTATCTAATTTGAGTCAACGGGGAATCTCAAGTAGAGATGGGAAAGTGGAGCTTCTCGGCTGTTGTGCTACTCGTGGGGTTTAGTTTCAAACGAATATGCAAATGAAGTATTTAAACAATGAATTCATTCAGTGCAAGGGAATCTACCTTTGCTGCCAATTTGTAGTTAAATATATTTGTTTTAACTGGGAGGAGTCAGAGGTGAGCTAGGCGAAATGACAATTAACGTCGCGTTCAAGATTATTGACATATCTGGTTTTGCAGCTGCAAAATAACAGAAATTCCCCCATCCCTCTCCCTTATACTGAACGGGGAAGATTACATGTTGGGTCATAAAAGGTCTGAGAGGAATTTGTCTGTTGTTGTCTTGAGACAGCTGTAGATTGAGAAAGTGAGTTATTTTGAACGGTATTTTATATATCAAGGCGTGTCAGATTGAAATGGGAGGAAGCGTGCTGGACGGGCATAGGTATAATGGTGCGATGTGACATAAAAACATAATCAGGAGCATCTGGAATTTGGTCCCACGATCTTGAAATGCTGACAAACGAATTACGGTGCCTGAGACGTGCCCCCTCGAGTAATTTAGTTTGGTTCTAAGTAGTACCCACAGCATATCACACAGTCTGGTCAGCCATATATTTGATAATGTTACCAATGGTATTCATCTGGAACTTATTAGGGCATTCTACTGAGACAAACGAACTTTGATATTCACAGGTGCATCATTTGTTGTCTCCAAGGCACTGAAAATGACAGACAAACAGACTGATATTTTTCGGTCATGAGGATAATGACATTTTATTTGAGAGACATTTATCGTGGAGGAACGTTTGTATATTGCATTTCGAATTTTATTAGTATTCAATGTATCATTTTCTTTCATAAAAATGCAAGTCTGAGAAGAATGTGGCTAATATTGCCGCCCATTAATTGAACACATTATCTTTGTGTTGGCTACGTCAGGTAGGTATTTGATTTATATCATTATATGATATGAAGAACATAATTATAGTTCCAACATCCTGGGATATCCACGCAGATGCAAATCAATGAGAAACATGTAACATCGGCCAGAGTATCTCGCAAAAATATCCAGTATGAGTCAACCTTGCATTGATGATCTACAAATATTGGGTACCTTCCACGTTATGCTAAAATTCCTTATTTGGTTACCAGTACAAATTTACAGATGTTTTATGGATTTACCCAATATTGTGGTGTTTTATAATACATCAGTATTGGCTTTCTTAAACAGTTATTTAGCAGGCATGTTTCTAAGTTTGTTAATAAACTATTCAGCTGAATACACTTCTTTATCTGCTTGCCTTGAAAGTACTTCACATATTTGTCAATATGTTTCGACATGAAATTGTTAAACCAAGATATTTATAGACTAATACTACTTTCTTGACCGAAAAATCATTTATCATAAATAAATATATCTCCACCTTTTCCCGAAATCAACAAATTTTGTATTTATAGTATTTACAAATACTCCCCACTTATATTTATATCGAATATTTATCTTTTCTCTAAATTTACAAAACTATCTACACACTTTGTATAAGCAAATATACAGAACCGCAAAAGAAACGTCACCATGGAAAGATATATGAGAAACCTTATTTGTCCAAACACTGTAAACATACTTTGAGACATATTAAAAAGATGAAACTTGGCAAAACTGATCATCAAGGTTGAAATTAAAGTGTCAAATGTTCTTAAAGTGAAACAACACTAGTCTCTGAGAAAATGGCATCACAAGTCAGTATCTCGTGTGTCTCAGTGTCCGCCATGTGCATTGATGATTGCCGTGCAACGTCGATACATGGAATGGATGAGGCGGCTGATGAAGGCCATAGGCACTTGAGCCCACACTTTGAGGAACGCCTGACGCAGTTCAGCTGCAGTTGTCAGCCTTGGTCGGACGTCATTCAGCCGTCTTTGAATATCGTCCCACAGGTGCTCAATGGGATTTAAATCGGGCCTGAGGACAGGCCACTGCATGGTTCTGATGCCATTAAGCTAGAGAAATTCTCTTGTTGCTCTCGCAGTGTGGGCACGGCCGTTATCATGCTGAAACTCTTGGTTGCGTCGACGTGCCAAATGAGGTATGGCGTGTGGTTTCAAGACTTGATCAATGTACAGAGCTGCTTTGACACCATTGCCTCTCCCTGGACCGATGTTCTGGAAGACCACAGGGCCGACCCTCTGTGCAAGACCAATTCCAACCCACAGCATGATGCTCGGACCACCCCACGAGTCTCTCTCAACAACACAAGCATCTGAATAACGTTCCCCACGGCGTCGCCAGACTCTCTCTCTTTTATCTGCTGATGAGATACAGTAACGGCTCTCGTCTGAGAAGAGGACTCTTGTCCACTGCTGCTGGCGCCAATGTTGGTGCTGTGTTGCCCACTGAAGACGATCCCGGCGATGACATGGTGTCAGAATGGGTCCTCGGTGTGGCCTGAGACAGT